GAGGCAACATGGAAAAGTGTCATCCTGCCATCACGTAGGACGTAGTCCAGCTGTAACTATTCAGAAAGGCACTTTGGCCTTGATTTCATAAGCTCTCCTTGCAGTTAGATCCTTTTTTGCTTTTACATGTGAGATCATTTTAAGTGCCAAAGTAACACTGTCATGTGTATACTCACTTCCCATTTCTGGAGCACAACTATATTTGCTGTGGAAATTTTTCCTTCAAACATTTGGGGGGGGGGGGGAAGTTGCAAAGAAAGCATTGTTCATGGATAAGAGCCTAAATGCCTACCCTGAATCTGTAATTTATCAGCCCAGTGACCTTGGGTAAGTAACTAAGCCTCCTGTGCTCATTCCTGATCTCCCAGACTCTTCTTGTTTAAAGTGGGAATAATAATGAATTTTCACATCATTTCATTTCATTATTGAGAAAATTAAAAGACTTGTTCCCTGTAAATTGCTTGAGAATAGTGGACTCTACTCAGTACTCAATAACTGATGGATAAAATAATTATTGTGATCACAATATAAACATTTATCCTCGAATTTTTTTCTGTAAGAAGCTGATAACAGCTAACATTTAAATTCAGTCCTGGGTTATACAAATTCTGGCATCCCATCTGATTTCTTCCCCCTTTTACCTTCAAGCTGCCTGGTTTTATGATTCATTATTTATTCACCTCAAATTTGACAGGAGTGAAGTATTACTATGGTTTGCTATTCTCTTTTATTACAAATTGTTTTCCTTATTCACGTGTCCCATATTCCTGTCCTCCCGCAGCCATCCCTAATACTCAGAGTAAGGGATAAACTGTTTAAAATCCAAAGTCCATTTGCCTTATTATTTTTTTCTGTAAACTAAACAGTTGATATAGAAATAGTTCCCTTCCCCATTCTCATTTTTCAAATTAATAAGTCTCATTTTTCAAATTACTAAGTTTTAGGAGCCCTATTTCAGCTTTGCAGATCTTGAAACCCATATATCTCAGTTACAGTTTACCACGGCCCATATAGGTGAAATGTGACTTAGCCAGTGTGAGCAGTAAATCAGTGGAGAGAACTTTATTCCAGATACCTTGATGCCCAGTGTTCTGTCTACTACAAGAAGCAGTAAAACAGTGTTTTTATGGCATAGATTAGTATTCTAAAATGTGGTAAACAAGTCAGTTCTTTTAAAGCTCTTTGGGACAAAGGGGATCCTTTAGATCTTGCAGAATACTTCCTCTTGGAGGTCCACAATACACCTTAGCTCTTGAAGGATGCTAAAAAGTCTAAAAGTAAAACCTAGTAGACTTTGTTTAATCCTGCATTTTTCCAAACTTTGGGAAAACTCTTTGGAAGATGCTGGTCTTGGGGTTCTTTTGGGAGTGGGGGATAGTGGTTTAATTTATTTTTAAAAAACTTCTCATCAGATTGTTAACTCTCTGTTGTATTCAGCAAGACTCCCACCCCACCCCATGTTCTTTCTGCTGCAGTCACTGAAGGTTATTTTAATCCAGTTACATCACCTGCTTGAGATTGGTCATGTCATCTATTAAAGGAACAACCTTCCAGAAAGGTGATTCTTGAAAAAGAATTTATTAGTTTTCTAGGGCCGTTTACATGCTGTGCACCTCTCCCAACCTCATCGACCCTCTTGTTCCTATTTATCTCCATCACATTATTCACATATTAGATGTTATCCTGTATTGTTTAAGAGACAGACGAAACTTTTTTTTTAAAGATTTATTTATTTATACAAGAACTGGGGTACAGGTCAGAGGCGCACGGAAGGGTGAGAGAATTCACCAGAGACAGAGCGGGGAGCAGAACAGGTAGACGGACCAAAGACACTGATTAGGGGAGCAGCGGGCAAGACCTGAAAGGTCTGCTACGCCCTGTAGGTTGCCCCCTGGCCGGCGGGGATCGAACCTGCGCTGCAGAGGCTGCAGACAGCTTCACAGCGCTGCTCTCAACCTGCTGCACCACGGGGGAGGCCCAAGATTTATTTATTTTTGACAAAACTTCTAATGAAAACATCCATGGAGAGGTTAGACCAACTAACTCTCATTTTTCAGCATTTAAAAGCTGCAAATTAAATAAATAACAGCTCTATACTCCATTTGACATGTTTTAGGTTACCTAAGAAATAAATGACATCGTTCTCTGAAAATTTTGAGAAAAATCATGGCTTTTGAACTGTACTTCAGGGTTACACCCAGAATTTGCAACTGAGGCCACAGAGTGGACTTAAAGGTTATATACTTGATCCAGAAAAAGCCCTCCCACCAAAGCTTTCTAAAATCTGTTTATTTTAGTGTTAGAGCTCCAGTAGGAGATAGAAATGTCATCCAAGCTGGTACATCGTGAAGGGGCTACCCATTTACTACAAGCTACCAGAAAAAGACTATTTCTAAATCCCAAAGACACTTTTTATTTTAAACTGTCTCTTAGGGTGAGACCCCAGCTGTCCATGTGGTTAATAATAGGGGCAAATGGCCAAACATCACTCAGCCCAGTGACTTCCCTGGTGCTTGCTAGATGTCCTTGTGTGGTGCTGACAATGTCTTAAAACTCTTATGTGGTTGCTTTAGATTATCTCATTATGTTCATCATAAAATCCAGCATTTTTTTTTTTTTAAGACATAGTTCAAATTTCAAAGAGACCAGTGTAATAGTGTTTTGAATCCTTGCAAAATTCTCAGATGAAAATTCCGGTGTGTTTGCCCACATGACTGTGTGTGATGAAGTGAGAAGAGTGGACTCTGCCTGCCTGTCTGGACACTTGACTTTTCTTCTCCTGGAAGCATGGCTGCATTTTTCGTGCTTTGTTCAGCATTATACTTTGTGCTATGTCAGTGAGTTCGCTTCACAGTCAATAGAATAAAAAAGCAAAACAAACAAAATGAAGCAATATGGAATTCAAAGACGGAGTTAGGAATGAGAAGAAACCTACCGTAGGAGTGACACTTTCAGAAACCGCAGTTTTCACCACCCACCATTTTTCCCTGTAGGATTGTGCTGTTTTTATGTTTTAAATACAAATCTTTAGTGAGTGAAGATAAGATTAACTTGTGTGGCCTCAAACTTGGCTTACAGGACCATATTTCCTCTTAAAGAACCACATAAAATGCCTGATAGAAATTTAGAAGCTCAACTTGAAAACTGAGATTCAGTGGACTTAATTGCTTTAAATTTAAACTTAAACTAAACACGGGCAAATTTAGTTCCTGGTTTATATTAATGACAAAAATGAAATTTTAAAAAGCAGCCTTTTTTTTTTTAAAGATTTATTTATTCATACAGGAACTGGGGTGCAGGCCAGAAGTACCAGGGGGTGAGAGGATTCGCTAGTGACAGAGTGGGGAGCAGAATAGGCAAATTGACTGAAATACACTGCTGAGGGGAGCAGCAGGCGAGACAGGTGAGGTCTGCTGCACCATATGGGTCACCTCCCAGATGGGGGGTGGAACTTGTGCTGCAGTGGCTGCAGATAGCTTCATGGTGCTAAAAAGCAGCTTTTTCTACCTTTCTAACATTTAAGAATAAAAAAACTCTGAACTTATACTAAAGCATCAAACTTTAAGGAAACTGGCTTTGCTAGAGGCAATAATTTTCTTGACCATTAAATGTTTACAAAGTAGTATATTTAATTATTTGGATTCCTTAGTCTCTGCCCACAGCCTTTCTGATTTCAGTAGCATGTATCAAAGTAAAAAGTCTAGTGTTTCCTAGGTAGGTGGGTAAATTTCAAATAGAAAATTTGCTTGTATGAGTATATGATTTGAGTACTGCTACTGTGCATTATATCTAACTAGTAGAAAGTCTACCAGTCTTCTCTTGAACACTATAGTAAATAATTCTATGCTTAAATAAATTAAAGGTTAGAGGAAAGCACAAATGATAACTGGTTTTCTTAAACCTGAATCCCTCAATTTATGCTGTGACAGTAACAGATGGAAATAAACGCAAGAATCTTGGCACACTTGTTTTCTAGCAGGTTTTTTGTGAGGAGAAACTGCGTGTATGTTAGGTAAAACACTTCGTCCTTCACTATGAGCTTAGATGAAGTGCCTACTGTCTGATTTCCTAACAATTCCAGTAATAGATTTTAAATTGTGTTTTCTCTTAAGCCATTATCTCTTTTACTCAGATAAGTTTTATATATCCAGATGGTGTAAAGATTTAGAAGTATTTCTGTTAACCCTGTTCTTTCTTAGAGTTTCTTCTCTTTGTGCATGTATCTCCTGTTTGCATCCTGGAGAGTTACAATTTCATGGTATGAATTTTATTCTCTAATTGTTAAACCTATCACTTACTGGTTCTGCCTGCTCCATGTTCAATTGTAATATCAGGTAGTAGAAATCAGTATTTTTATTTCAGGGCTTTATGAGAGGACACATAAAAATATTTGTTTTCCCTGCCCCTCTTTGTATTTACAATAATTCCTCTCAAAATTACTGTAGAACAAATAGCCTAATTAGTTTTAACTGTCTGCTTTTCCTTACCCCTCTTACAGTGAATTGCCCAATTATACACATTAAAGATAAATTTAAGCAATTTTATCTAAGGTAGAAACAGAATAAGCCATTCACTTAATTATCTGTTCTTTGTATGTGTAGTTCGGTATCAGCCTCTTAGATGTTTGTAATTGCTTAGAATGTTAGATTATAATGACTGGTGTTTGCTTCTTAGGGAGTAAGAAATAATTGAAATATTTTTAAATACTCTCCCTGTGATTTGAAATATGTTTTCTAGAACTATATGTTGAAATTATTCTGATGGTTTACTTTTTACTGTCTTAAACAGTATATAATTGACACATTTTATGGCTCAAAGCTGCAACTAACACTGATTGGTAATTCAAATTTAACTTTCTGTTTGCATTTTCTGGCATTTTTAAATGTGAATTTGATGGCATGTGATTATTTGCAAATAAAAACAGTTTAGTAGCTTGCTTTTTTTTTTAAACTGATTTGAAATACATTTGAAAATGTAAATTATTTTTGTTTCACATAAAGAAATGGATGAAAAGAGGCTGCTGGATCCAGGGTTGAAAGTTCGTAGAGGCATCTGGGATTATACTCTGAGGAACCAGCAGATGGAATGCCTGAGTGACTGAAGAAAATGGGTGCTAATGCATCTAACTATCCTCATTCATGTTCCCCGAGGGTAGGGGGAAATTCTCAAGCCCAACAGACTTTTATAGGTAACTCTTTCCATTTTTCTGACTATTTTATTTTGTGAAGATAAATAGAATTTTGTTTTTAGAGGTCATTGTGGAGGAAAAGAAAATTGAGCTGTGAAAATGTTACTCTATAGATAATAATTTTGCAGTGTCCAAAAAATTTCCCCCAATAAATGTAAATCTGGCTTATGGTTTTTATCCTAAACAGACTTCTGTCTCAAGGTTGCTCTTTCCTTTGATTCTTAACCAGAATTACCAGTTATCCTGTGCAAACCAACACTCTCCATTGGTTTGAAAACCATGAAATACATGTTTCTTGTTTCTTGGCCCGTTTATTTTGTATATACAAATGCAGCCTTGGTGTGGTTAAGAAGAAAAAGAAACATTTCAAAATTATATTCAAGTACATAAATTTATATATAAAATCAATTAATTATATACGATAAGTAGTAGTATTATTTATTTTTTTTTAAACTTTTTTTTTTATAGAGGCATGTTTTATTTATTTATTTGTTTGTTTGTTTGTTTTGTTTATACATGCACTGGGTACAGTCAGAAGCGCGGGAGGGTGAGAGAATTCACCAGAGCCAGAGCGGGGAGCAGAGCAGGCAGAAGGACCGAAGTACACTGCTGAGGGGAGCAGCGGGCGGCAGGCGAGGTCTTCACGCCATGTGGGACCCTCCTTCGGTGGCCGGGGAGCAGCCGGGGATCGAACCTGTGCCGCAGAGGCCGCGGGCAGCTTCGCAACCCAGTGTGCAACCGCTGCGCCACCGGGGAGGCCCGATAAGTAGTAGTATTAATTTACAAACCTGCCTAACTGTAATTTCCCAAACTCCACAGTTAAGATCTGGGATACTGGTCCTTGAGAGCCAGGCCAGAGGACCTAAAGCTCTGCTCCCCTCAGCATTGTCTTTGGTCTGTCTGCCCATTCTGCTCCCCACTTCGTCTCTGGTGAATCCTCTCACCCCACTACCCCCCCCCGCCCTGTACCTATGGCCTGTACCCCAACTCTTGTATTAATAAAAAAAAAAGTAAGAATAATCTGCTCTCTTTATTCTATATTTAATATAAAAATTAGTTATTTGAACCTTTTACCTTCCTTTATAAAAACAAAAGTCACTTTTATATGAATGGGTCAGGAATGTCTATTTATAACAGCTTTTAGCATAAACTGTGTTAAAGTGAATATTGAAAATGAATGTTATGAAAAAGAAATCAATTTTCTTTTCTTTGATTTCCTTCTTAGGGACATCATCTTATTCTCAGCAAGGCTATGGTTGTGAATCAAAATTGTATAGCCTTGACCATGGCCATGAGAAACCACAAGACAAAAAAAAGAGAACCTCTGGCCTCGCCACCCTCAAAAAGAAGTTTATTAAGCGTCGGAAATCTAATAGATCTGCTGATCACGCCAAGCAGATGCGAGAACTCCTCTCTGGGTGGGATGTCAGAGACGTCAATGCATTAGTGGAGGAATATGAGGGAACTTCAGCCTTAAAGGAGCTTTCTCTACAAGCCAGTTTGGCTAGACCCGAAGCCCGGACATTGCAGAAAGATATGGCCGATCTTTATGAGTACAAATATTGTACTGATGTAGACTTAATATTTCAAGAAACTTGTTTTCCTGTTCATCGTGCCATTTTGGCAGCAAGGTGTCCATTTTTTAAAACACTGCTTTCTTCCTCACCTGAGTATGGGGCAGAGATCATAATGGACATCAACACAGCCGGTATAGATATGCCCATGTTTTCTGCTTTGCTACACTACCTGTATACAGGAGAATTTGGAATGGAGGACTCAAGGTTTCAAAATGTCGATATCCTGGTTCAGCTCAGTGAAGAATTTGGAACACCAAATTCCCTGGATGTAGATATGCGTGGACTCTTTGACTACATGTGCTACTATGACGTCGTCCTTAGTTTTTCTTCAGACTCTGAACTGGTTGAAGCTTTTGGTGGAAATCAGAACTGTTTAGATGACGAGCTCAAAGCTCACAAGGCTGTTATTTCAGCACGATCTCCATTCTTTCGGAATTTATTGCAAAGGAGGATACGGACTGGTGAAGAAATCACAGACCGAACTTTGAGGACTCCCACAAGAATTATATTAGATGAGTCCATTATACCAAAAAAATATGCGAAAGTGATATTACACTGTATGTATACTGACATGGTGGACCTCTCCGTTTTGCACTGTAGCCCCTCTGTGGGGAGTCTCAGTGAAGTTCAGGCTCTTGTTGCAGGGAAGCCAAACATGACTAGGGCAGAAGAAGCCATGGAACTTTATCACATAGCACTGTTCTTGGAATTTAACATGCTTGCACAAGGTATGAACTTCTGATTTTTAATTTTGTTGTCTAGAATTACTTGTCTTTCAAATCAAAAGCATAACCTATGCATTCTACTATTTCAGGTTTGGGATATGACAAGGTCACTTTTTCTAAATCTCTAGTTAAAGCATTTGAGACAGAACTGAAGATTACTGTTACTGTGTCTCTTTATTTAGTATTAAAACCAAGCATTCAAAACTAGTGACTACAGGCAGTACATGAGAATTGAGGCTCTTCTTCCTCACTGTGTAAGACAGTAGATGTGGGTAATATATAATTACCCAGCTGCCACCCCCTACACCCTGCATGCAAACTTTGAGTTTTAAAGTAGCCCCATATGCCAACTTTCAAGATTATTCTTTTTTTTTTTTTAAAGATATTTTATTTATGCATACAAGAACTGGGATGTAGGACAGAGGTGCAGGGAGAGGTGGGTGGTGAGAGGATTCACCAGAGACAGAGTGGGGAACAGAACAGGCAGATTGACGACATACACTGCTGAGGGGAGCAGCAGGCGAGACAGGAGAGGTCTGCTGCGCCATGTGAGTAGCTTCCTGGCTTGGGATGGAACTGGTGCTGCAGTGGCTGCCCATAGCTTTATAGTGCTGAGACTTAACCGCACCACCAAGGAGGTCCTCAAGGTTATTCTTGATCTAGGACTCTTTGGATAACTTAGAGTCTCACAGTAAACATTCATTGATGCTTAAATGTTTAGAATAAAAATGAGAAATTTCGTTACAAAAATGACCATAGTCACAGTGGATACAAATTTATTTGAATCAAAAAATTGGGCAGGGTTTCTTATTTAAAATAATCTGTATCTTCTTTTCTTTTTTTTTTTTTTTTTTATAGAGGCATGCTTTATTTATTTATTTATTTATTTGTTTGTTTGTTTTGTTTATACATGCACTGGGTACAGTCAGAAGCGCGGGAGGGTGAGAGAATTCACCAGAGCCAGAGCGGGGAGCAGAGCAGGCAGAAGGACCGAAGTACACTGCTGAGGGGAGCAGCGGGCGGCAGGAGAGGTCTGCTCGCCATGTGGGACCCTCCTGTGGTGGCCGGGGAGCAGCCGGGGATCGAACCGGCGCTGCAGAGGCTGCGGGCAGCTTCGCAACCCAGCGCTCAACCGCTGCGCCACCGGGGAGGCCCCTGTATCTTCTTTTCAAGCTTACTTTGTACATCAGGCAAATTAGAACGGCAAGTTTTTTGTGTTAGATGGGAATGAATACGTCAGGATTACATTAAATGAATTATGTATCTGTTGATAAACATTAGAATCTTAACATTTCAGAGCTGGAAAGAAACCTTCTGTGGGAGAGGAAAGAAATGTGCTATCCAGACAGAGTGCATGGTTAGCTTACTATGGCCATATATTAAAAGAAAACAAGCTGTTTGACATGAAATTACTTGAGAAATTTGGCTAATGAGTATTTGCTAAAAGAATATTAGAAATTGCCCATTTAAAGGGAATGTTAATGGTTTGAGTGAAAGACATTCAATTAGGAAAGAAGCAGATTTTCCTAACTTGAAAATGATGTAGAACTGAAACAAATTAATAGGACTTTGTTATCAATAAGCTGTAAGGAATTATACAGCCAAAGATTTTGATAGACGTGTGAAAAAAAGTTGATGTTTCTCTCACATAAATGACCTTTAAGATCTTATTTTACCATTCTCTTTTTAATAGTAAAACTAGTTTTATTACTATTATAAAAATGTCATTAAAATCTTATTAGTTTAAAATGAGAACCCTTATATTAATAATAAACTATTTAGATGTCAGACTAGAAGAAAATTTGTTATAAAAAATAACCTAATACCTTGACCTACCATTTCTTTATTCTGTAAAACCAAATTTGTCAGAAAATGCCTTGCCCCCAAAATTTGAAGGTTGCAACATTACCAACAAGGTATAATCTCTATTTCCTCAAACTGGTTTTATTTTTTGACATACTTGATCTAGGATTCTTTTATATTGAGTTTTTTTTTGTTTTTTTTTGTTTAAGATTTATTTATTTATACAAGCACTGGGTACAGTCAGAAGCGCGGGAAGGTGAGAGAATTCACCAGAGCCAGAGCAGGGAGCAGAGCAGGCAGAAGGACCGAAGTACACTGCTGAGGGGAGCAGCGGGCGGCAGGAGAGGTCTGCGCGCCATGTGGGACCCTCCTCCGGTGGCCGGGGAGCAGCCGGGGATCGAACTGGTGCTGCAGAGGCTGCAGGCAGCTTGGCAACCCAGCGCTCAACCACTGCGCCACTGGGGAGGCCCTGAGTTAATTTTTTAAAATTCATTTATCTAGAATTTGTATTTTGTTTGAGTACATTTTGAAGATATAAAACAACACTATACTAATTTAATCTTGGTTACTTAAAAAATATATATATTCCTTTAAATTTGGGTGTGCATGGCTTTTTGTTTCCTGTCATTCAGATTACAGAGTTGGGGTTTTTGGATTTTGGTTTTTCTGCTACATGTAGACATTATCTTCCTCATCCACATGGTTTTTCCCCCCATATGCATTAGGGGTTTATAACAGACCATAACTTTAATGTATTTTTTACCTCATTTCCATGAAAAGGAGAGTATTTGATCAGCTAGAGAGGAAGTTTATACCACGAAACTTAAGCACTCAGGTTCTGGAGCTAGATAGACTGGACTTGAAACTTCCACTACTATGTATTAGCTTGTTTGACCTTAAAACAAGTTGTATAACCTCTCTCTCTCTCTCTCTCTCTCTCTCTCTCTCTCTCTCTCTCTCTCCCGTTTTCTCATTTGTCAAATAACAATAGTAATCCTATAAGGTAGGATTATAAAGATTAAAGGAAATAATATATGTAAAGTTATCTTAATAGCACCTGATACATAGTAAGCATCCAGTAAATGTTAACTGCTAAGTGATAATCATCAAAACATACATTGTTCACTATCATAGACTTCTCTGAAACTAACTTTATTAAAGCTTTAAAATATATTTTTATAATTTTATTGATAAAACTCAATATTAAACATATCTTACAGATAATTGCTAGGTAATTAATTATTTTAGGATTTTCTTTTAATTTTATCACTAGTGAGTTGGTGCATACCATTTAATCTATTCTAAGGATCTGAGTACTTGTCACTCTATAGTTGGTTTTTCTCAACAGGATTTCTGTAAGCAGATTAAGCCTATAATACTCTTTAAGCATCTGTTGTGTGTAATAAATTAACATATGTGTGTCCAGCATGGTACTAGGTATGTACCATTTTTGGTTAGAATTAAGAAAGTAGTCGCTGAAGTCATTTTTTTGTTCTGTTATTTGGACAAGGTCTCCCAGTTAAGAATGGCTATGAGACGAGACTGTTGGGGAAGCATGAGGGTCTGACTTGATCGTTCTCATCATTGTTACCTCAGTGCTTGGGGTAGAGACATTCAGTATTAACTTGAAAAGTTTAGAGTCAGTTATAAAAGGAGATAAATTCTATCATGGGCAGCTGGGACCTTCAGACTCGATATGCCCTTCCAAATGGGGAGGTGATATGATAGTTTCAAGAGCATCATAAAGCAGCACTATAGGCAGACAGCCAGGCGAGCGGATAAAGGGGAGTATCCTGAGAATGGTTGTATTCAGACCAGTAGGCAGTCAGTATTAGGGAGGTGAGTTCGTAGGTAACACGGCCTCAACTAATTGCCCTGGTATTTTTAGGACTACATTTAGTGTCCCCTGAGTTCCTACATAGTAGATGAACATTTCTTCAAAGACCTAACGTTTTAGTAGAAGAATAAAGCACGTAGAAGCCCTCAACGACAAAGAAGCCCAAGAAGAAAACAACAATGCAGAAAAGGATATTAAAAATTTTGAAACCTGGAAAGCAGATAAAGAACTTCCTTAACAGAGTTGAGAAGTCTTTAATTCTATAGCCTATAGAGGGGCCTACTGAGGAGAAATGAGATGTTTCAACCCTCAGAACTCTGGAATGACTCAGACCAGGGGGTCCTAAGTATACTGGAAGAAGGGAGTAAGTTTGGTGCAAAACTGAAAAGAGAGTTCTGATTCCTAAGTCTGAATCCAGAATGGCTGTATCCTTTCTCCCACCTGGAACTCACCTTTATATGTGGTGTTAGAAAGGGGTGTGGTTTTGTTTCACTCCATATGGTAAGATGGTTTTCTGAGTATCCTGTTAAACAATCCATTTCCCCCTTTATTTGTGCCACTCTTTATTAAGTTCCCATGTATACAAGTGTTGGTACTTTTTCATTTTGTTTCAATGATCCATTTGTCTATTCTTAGATTAATAGCACTTTCAACCAGATTGCAGATCATGACCCACCCCATCAGTTCCTTTTGCATATCTGTCCCCCAACCAAACACAAGAGACCTGAGATTTATTATCTGAAGAAATCAAACTAAAAAAATTCCAAATCTATAAATAGCTACAAAGAGGGTGGAGATAAGGCACAAGGTTGAAATCTGGAATTATGGGGAATACCTACAAACTAAACAGTGAGATCAATCTCTTCCCATACTTTTGTGGCAGGCAGTAAATTGGAGATTTTTAAATGGTGAACAGCTTGATACTGGCATTGTGGGGTTCTACAAAATGCCTTCCAGTTGTTCAAAGAAGAGCACAGGCTGTAAGTCTGTTCATGGAGCAGGGCTTGAAAACACCTGTCTACTACCTTGCTCTGATGAAAACCCATCCAAGGGTCATTAGACTTTGGAGAAACTCTTCCAATCTGAGACTGTGATCAGGACCTAAAAACCCCACAAAAACAAAGTATGAGAAGAAACAGACAATGATGGGAGCAGAAGAAAACCCCAGTAGAGTCAAAATATCCATAAATAAGAAAGCATTTTCTGAAGCAATGAGATGTAAATAGGATGCTATAAAAGTAACAAAACTAAAACCCAGGAGCTTTTGGAAATAAGGTAGTAGTGGTGAAAAATATAAACGAATGATTGAAGAGTAAGGTTGAAACAACAAATAAGACAGAGAGAGAGTAGAAAGAAATACAAA